TGTGTCACGGATGGGGGAGAGACCTGTATGGAAACAATACAGATCTCTCCCCTGCAGGGGTGGACTAACAACTCATGGGGCCCCCAAGCAATAGGGGATCATGGGGCCCCTGTGTCCTTGCCCAAACTCCAAAAAGCCTATGAAAAAGGTACCAGGGGCATCTCATGGGGCCCCCTACTGACCCCGGGCCCTCGTGCAGTGCGCCGAGTTTCCAAATGGTCAGTCTGCCCCTGCTTCCCTGTCAGCTCCTGCACACTGCTTTGTATGGCTCTGCATAGCAGAGCCATGCAAAGCAGTGTGCTCGCAGTGTAAAGCACACACACAGCAAAACCACACACAGCGCAGTTAACCCTTTGATCACCCCAGATGTTAACCCCTTCATGCCCAGTGTCATTAGTACAGTGTCAGTGCTTTTTATTAACACTGGTCACAAGGTTAGTGTCACTGGGGATGTCAGTGACAGCTAGTCATTTCCCCCCAGTGTCAGAATGGCCGCCACAGTCCAGGTATGAGTCGCTGATTGCCGCCATTAGTAGTATAAAAAAAAATTCCAGTATCTATACCACCATTTGTAGACGCTATAACTTTAACATAAACCAATTAATTTACACGTATTGGGATTTTGTTTAGCAAAGACATGTCGCAGAATACATTTTGGCCTAAATTTATGATGAAATTTAATTAAAAAATTTTTTTTTACTGGACATGTTTAATAGCAAAAAGTCAAAAATATTGTTTTTTTCTCAAAATTGTCGGGTTTTTTTTTTTGATAGCGAAAAAAATAAAAAAAGAGGAGATTAAATACCACCGAAAGAAAGCTTTATTTGTGGGGGAAAAAAAAGGGCATACATTTTATTTGGGTGCAGCGTTGCATGACTGAACAACTGTCAGTTAAAGTAACGCAGTGCCCTATCTCAAAAAATGGCCTGGTCAGGACGGGGGGTAAATCCTCTGCAGGGCAAGTGGCAAATATGACATATTTACCGGACCTTTCACCTACTCTCCATCCTAAAAAGATCCTATTGTGTGCTTGCAGCTGCTGGTGAGAAGGAGAGGAGAGAAGCTGGCAACATTGCGGGAGTTGGGGTAGGGCACACAAGGGAGCCTGGGCAGTAGTATCGGTGTGGCTGGGGGGCAAAGCCAGCTTTCAGCTACTGCAGAGAGACCCATACGGGGGATCTGTTCTAAGAATGCCCCCCCCAACACCGATCACCCTCCCTGACCACATTTGGTTCACACTGCTGCCTGGGCCCCCCTGGTGGAATAAGCCCCATACAGGAGGACTGGTGGTACCCCATTATCCACAGCCTTGCTGTTGATGCCGATGTGCGTTTGTTCTGTAGATATTGAAATAGGTCATTCTAGTCCTGTTTCTGAAACCTTTCAAAATGATTGTTGAGTGGGTGCTTCTTCCCATACAAAACTCAAAGGTCTGCCACAGTGTTGTAATCCCTTTGGACTTGCAAGTAATTCATCAAAAGTAAAACTGCATTCAATAAGCTTCATGGAATGTCTTCCATGTAACAGGCTAAATGAGCTCATCTAGCAATTATATGTGTTGTAATTTTTTCTTTATTATTAAAGTGGAACTCCGGGATAATCACATACAGAGCAGGTTGTGAAGTGGTGGATGAAGAATGAACTATACCTACCTGGGAGCTCCTGGACTGGAGACTGGATATGACAAAAGTTGAGGAAAATGGAAAACTCTCACTGCACCTGTAATGTTATCTTATTGGTAGTTCTGTCTTTAAGTGGTTCTAAACTGAAAAAGTTATCTAAATGCATTCTCTGCATTAAGGTAAAAAAAAATACCCCAATATCTGTTCTAGCCCCCCCATCCCTAAACACTTACCTGAGTCCTGTCACTGCTCCAGTGCTTTCCCGGTTGCAGCACCGCTCCCCTCAATTCCTGGTCTCACAGAAGACACTGAGAGCAGTGGGAGCCATAGGATCCTGTTGATGTTAGTCAAACTCCTGTGAGGAGGTGGTGAGGATATGATTTACATGCGCTATATGTGTCTATGGATGTACACAGCCCGACTTGGGAGCATGCTCGAACAGGTGCCCCCCACAGCACATGACTTGGAAAGTGGAGCGGACAGTGCCAATGGAGGACTGGATTTATACTTACCTGCCGTGTGCAACGATATTGCACAGAACGGTCCCCTAAACCTCTTTTTTTATTTAAAACAAAAAGGACCTTTTCATTTTAAAGTATTGATTTTAATGTAATTAATCTGGTTACTGGGCAGTTGGCTTCTACATTCCAGAGTATCTCCACAATTTCCTGCCCTGCAGTGTAATGCAACAAAAATTGAAATTGAATCGCCACACCACTAAGAGGTCCAGATACAACTTTATTCCAATAAAAGACAGAAAATCCAAAGAGTGCCAGCGTGTTTCAGGGGTCCAAAAAACACCCCCTTCATCAGGGCTTGAAAAAAAAAAACAAGGACTTTTCCATGTGTGTTTTACTATTCAGATTCTCACATTTGTGTAAGGCTCTGATACTGATGATCTATTCAATCTATTCAGGGATTAGTGGTTTGAAAATTCATATCTAAACATTACTGTTAGCACAGTCGCTATAGATAAGAAGATATGCAAGAGAATTATTTATTTACAGGAAAAGGTAGCAGGTCAGATATCCAATAATAGAGACTGAAACACCACAACACTGCAAAGAATTCTTGATACAACTTTATTCCAATAAAAGTCAGGGGGACAATTCAAAGAGTAGATAACGTGTTTCATGGGTGCAAAAACAAACACATCATCAGGGTTAGAAAAAAAAAAAAAGTAAGGACATCTCCATATCAATGCAATATCCCCTTATCTAGGTCATAATTAAAACCAAACAACTGATAGCCCATGCATGAGCATTAACCTCTTCACCCCTAAGGGTAAAACAAATCTTACCACCTAAGCACAATTTTGCAACTTTGCCATGTGTTAACCACTTGCTCTCTAGAGGATTTACCCCCTCCCTGACCAGGCCATTGTTTGCGTTAGGTGCTGCGTTACTTTAACTGACAACCGTGCGGTCATGCAACATTGTACCCAAATGAAATTTACGTCCTTTTTTTCCCCACAAATTGAGCTTTCTTTCGGTGGCATTTGATCACATGTGCATTTTTAATTTTTTTTGCGCTATAAAAAAAAAAGACCGGCAATTTTGAAAAAGAAATAACATTTTTTTTTTACTTTTTGCTATTAAACATGTTCAGTAAAAAAAAAAAAAGTGAAAGCTTTTAGTGAAAGCTATAGCGTTTACAAATAGCGGTATATATATATTTTTTTACTAGTAATGACGGCGATCAGTGACTTATAGCAGGACTGCGGCTGGCATCCTGACACTGGGGGGAACTGACTTGGTGTCATTGACATCCCCAGTGACACCAATACAGTGATCAGTGCTTATAAAAAGCACTGACACTGTACTAATGGCACTGTGCAGGAAGGGGTTAACATGAGGGGTGATCAAAGGGTTAACTGTGTGCTGTTTTACTATGTGCTATGTCCATGTGCTTCACTGTAAGCACACTGCTTTGCATGGCTGTGCTGTGCACAGCCAACCAGAGCACTGTGCACGAGCTGACAGGGAAGAGAACTGTTTTGTTTACAAACAGTTCTCCTCCCCATCGAAGATGCTCAGAAATCACGAACGCCGGCGAGTAATCACTGGCCGGGACCCGCTGATTGACTGCCGCGGCCGTGAGTTTGCAGCACGGGTAGGGCGTGTGCGCACGCCATCTACCCTGAAATGCAAAATCATGTATATATACACGTGATTTTGTGCACATGTGCCGGCCTGTAGTAGTATTTCTGCTACAGGGCGGTCAGGAAGCAGTTAATAAAACCGTACATATTATCACAACTACTTTGTGCATACAGGTAGAATTTACCTTGTTTTTTTTTAGGACAAATTGGACTTTCGTTTGGTGGTGATAGATATCTCCCGATTTTTTTTAGTATTATTATTATCATCAAAGGAAAAGTGGCTACTACCATAACCTACCACCAAATACCAACCCAAAATAAATTCTCCAGCTCCTGACAATCGCAGAGATACCACATATGTGTATCAGGGCTTGAAAAAGCCACTCTCCAAATGCGAGGAGAAATTCCTCTGTGGCGAGCGGCAAGCAGCGAGCACAGATGAAGCTCGGAGCGACTGCACCTGCGCTCCAAGTCTCATTATAAAGCTGAGTTCCGGTTTACAACTTCCGGTTTCTGGCTTCTTCGGCTTTGCTGAGAGGAGACACTCTCTCCACTGCTGTGGGGGACTCGGAGGGGCTAGGAGTAAGTACTGTATACACAACATGTCATATCACTATAATGGAGTATAGGGGAGCTGGGATATACATTACTCAGTAATGTATATCCCAGCTCCCCTGTACTCCATTATAGTGATATGACATGTATACAGTAATGTATATCCAAGCTCCCCTGTACTCCATTATAGTGATGACATGTATACAGTAATGATTACTGTATACATGTCATATCACTATAATGGAGTACAGGGGAGCTGGGATATACATTACTGTGTACAGTTTTATATTTTGGACTCTTTATTCTAAAGAAAAATGTAATTTCATAAGCTTTAAGGGGGCGTGGTTGGGGGCAGGGTTGCGGGCGGACCTGGGCAAAGTTGGGTGGGGCAACTGGTGGAGAGTAAGTTTTGTGACCGGCTAGAAGGTCTGGACTCGAAATTTTAACCCCTGTGTGTATGTTAGTTGTTGTATGTACCCATAGTACAGCCCAGAAACAGCAGTGCACATTTTGCCTTTTTTATCCTACATAAATTACACTGACACTATTTTAAAAATGTGGAAAACAAAAATCCTTGACCTTTGACCCTGACCCAAAAACTAACCTTGGCACTAACCTTGGTCAAACCTTTGATCCATGCATGCTGTCTGAGAACTCTGCAAAGACCTGTGTCCTTTGGGCAGCAGTCAAAAATTCACAGGCTTCCAGTAAGTTGGCTACAATTACAGTTTGTTGGACAGTTTTTTAGTCTTAACCCATATTCTTCCTTTCATTCCAATGACCATTTCAAATGGAAATACATTCATCAGTTCCTGGACAATGTCATTCTGGAGTCTTAAAAGCTTTCTTACTAGTCCTAAGGATACCTTAAACATAAGGCCATCTTGTCTAATGACACCCATCCAATTTGCTGTTTCATAACTGTCAATGCATGCCAACTCTGGTTCCATGTCTTTATTGGCCACAATAACCTGTCCATAAATGAGGTCTCCAACCTTTATATTGGGTCTGTTTTTTTTAGTTGCACCTTCAAAGAACAAGTATGATAATGAAGCTTGATCACTTCCTCCAATGTCAACTTTAAAAATAGGGCAGCCACTCAGGACTTGGAAGGAAGTGGAGATCACTGTGGTAAGAGTGTCTACTACAGTGATTCCCAGCTCCAAGTTGGACCATTGTAACTATATAAAAATACAAATACTTGAAATTCTATCTGATCAAGGATAAAAATAAAATTCATTTTTTAAAGGGTATGTCAAGTCAAAAGCTTTTTTTCTAGATTTGGACAGAGTGCAGAAGAATTAGAACTCTTGTTGGATTTCTATAGCTATGCAGTGCTCCATTTATCCTTACATCCTGTCAAGCTGATCACATTTTACCAGACAGAAAATGAGGGTCTCTCTCCAACAGCAACGAAAAACAAAAATACAAAATGCTTTTATTTTGTAGAATTTAGAATATATTTTTGTCTGTGTGCTTTTAGCAGTTTTTTTGCTCACTTCCTGTCTGGTAAAACATGGTCATCAGGGCAGGATGGGAGACTAAATCTCTATATCAGAGGCTCAGAGAGCAGTAACAATCCTACAGGAGTTCTAATCCTTCCCTACTCTATTCAAATCTAGAAAACAAGTTTTTGACTTAACATACAGTTGTGTCCAAAATTATTCAACCCCCAATGCTGTAAAGGGGTTTAGGGACTATAGTGTACATTTGGAATTGTATTCAGAATCAAATCCTACAAGGACGTTGTAACTACCCAAATGCAACTAAAATGACATCAATTGTTTATGTAATACAGTAGTAAATGGTTCTTATGTGGTTTCTTCATTGCCACAATTATTCAACCCCTTAAAGACTACCACTCTGAAGAACAGAGGTTCATACAGGTGCTTTCCATCAGGTATTGAAAACACCTGTGGATGTCACCGAGCAGCAATCAAGCATAATAAGCACCAATTAGGCAGCTTTAAAATGACTGTGATACTCAGCTCCTTCTAGACATTTACTGGTGTGGTTACAAACATGGTGAAGGCAAGAGAATGGTCCAGGAAGACAAGAGAAGAGGTGATTTCTCTTCACAGGAAGGGCAATGGCTATAAGAAGATTGCAAAGATGTTTAAACATACCAAGAGACACCTTAGGAAGCATCATTCGCAAATTCAAGGCAAAGGGCACTGTTGAAACGCTACCTGGTCGTGGCAGAAAGAAGATGCTGACTTCGACTGCTGTGCGCTACCTGAAGCGTAGAGTGGAGAGAAGTCCCCGTGTGACTGCTGAGGAACTGAGAAAAGATTTGTCAGATGTGGGTACAGAAAGTTTCAGCCCAGACAATAAGACGCACACTGCGTAATGAAGGCCTCCGTGCCAGAACTCCCAGGCGTACCCCCTTGCTGTCTCCAAAGAATAAGAAGAGTCGACTGCAGTATGCCAAAAGCCATGTGGACAAACCACAAAAGTTGTGGGATAGTGTTCTGTGGACTGATGAAACAAAATTAGAACTGTTTGGGCCCATGGATCAACGCTATGTTTGGAGGAGGAAGAACAAGGCCTATGATGAAAAGAACACCTTGCCTACTGTGAAGCATGGTGGAGGGTCAATCATGCTTTGGGGCTGTTTTGCTTCTGCAGGTACAGGGAAGCTTCAGCGTGTGCAAGGTACCATGAATTCTCTTCAGTACCAGGAGATATTGGATGGAAACGTGATGCAGTCCGTCACACACCTGAGGCTTGGGAGACGTTGGACCTTTCAACAGGACAATGATCCCAAGCATACCTCCAAGTCCACTAGAGCATGGTTGCAGAGGAAAGGCTGGAACATTTTGGAGTGGCCATCGCAGTCACCAGACTTAAATCCGATTGAGAACCTCTGGTGGGACTTAAAGAAAGCAGTTGCAGTGCGCAAGCCTAAGAATGTGACTGAACTGGAGGCCTTTGCCCATGAAGAATGGGCGAAGATACCCGTAGATCGCTGCAAGACACTTGTGTCAAGCTATGCTTCACGTTTAAAAGCTGTTATAACTGTAAAAGGATGCTGTACTAAGTACTAAGATTGAATGTCACTTGGGGGTTGAATAAAACTGATAATGCTGTGAGCACAGAAAAGACATTTGTGGTTATTTCATTATAACTGTTATGTTATATTTGTCTGACCTACAAGTGCCTCTTTAATGTAAATGTAAGCAAGATGACTGAATGATCAAAAGCAATGTCAAACTGGCCAAAACACTCAATTTCAGTGGGAGGGTTTGCTCCAGTTAAACATCAAATTAAAGCATTTAAATTTACATTGGAATAGCTAATCCACTAAGAGACCCCAAGCATCATAATTTCAGTAAATTTTTATCCTGACGTTTAGCATGTGCAGCTGGCTATCCTGCTTGGTAAATCTCTTTGGCTGTCAGTATCTTTATTTTGAAAATGGTCTTGATAGCATACCTAGGAAAAATATAGCCCAGATTTTACCTGGATATACACATTGCCTTTTGTAGAAAGGGTAGATGCAGTATAGAAATTCAAGTAACAAGGTTGTGTAGACTGGCTGCAATACGTTATGTTAGCGAATTGGCTTATCATGTGGCTACTGTGAAATACAATCACATTGGTCATGTGACCGGGAAGTCACTCCACCTCCCAGCATTAAAGCCCACATAAAGGGCAGTCAGCAGCTGTTCGGAAGAAATTAAAGAGCTTTTGAGTAAATATGGTCCATCCAGTTGTGCACAGGGTGCAGCACTGTGTGGCAGCGTATACTGAAGAAAGTTACAACAAGGTATAACCAGGCCTGGCAGTTGAGAACAGCCATCAAAAGCTACTTACGGGATCTGTTACAGAGGTACAATAGCTTAAAATGATGTCAACAACTTTTGCAATGAGGAGTGGGAATGCGATCTGGCTCCAACCCCAATTGGGAGACTTCCTAGGGTAGAGAACAGTGTAGTCCTTGCAATTTCCCTACTTTTCTGGAACCTCTCTCTGTCATTATGAGCTGTCCCTAACAGGCAGGGAACCTGTCCCTACACTAATCACTTGCAAAGTGTGCGCCAAATCAGGGGGCCTGGGTCTTAAATAAATCTGTTGGATGGCTGCAAAGCATCCTTTTGCATCCTTTTGCAGCCATCTCAAGATGGCTGCAAAGGTCACAAGAGGCACCAGCTACTAGTCAGACAGCTGCTCTTTGTCAGGATCCAGGTGTTCTGCGGCATCGCATCGGGCGGCGCATGTGCAGAACACCAACTCTCTCTACCCAGCGGGCGGTAGGACCTGGCCGCGCATGGCAGCGGCGGGGTTCGCGCATGCGCACTCGGGATCACGGACGCGCGCCTGGCACCAATTACAGCGGGAGGCGGGCTATTTAAACGTAGGAACAGGTATGTTAGTTGCCGTTTGGTCTTGTATCCTGTGTCCTGTATCCTGTTCCTGTGTTGCTGTATACTCCGTTGCTGACCTCTGCTTGTTCCTGATCCTGCTCTCTCCTGTTTGACCCCTGGCTTGCCTGACTACTCTTCTGTCTGATCCCTGGTACTGTATTTGCCCGCATCCTGCTGAACCTGGCTTGTGACCTGACCATTCTTAGCTCGCTCCTCTGTACCTCACTGCCCGCATAATACCGACCCGGCCTGTCTGACCACGCATACCGTATCCATCCATCCATCCGGGTTGGATCAGACCTGTGTATCTGTCTGCCTCTTCCAAAGTAGATTCCGTTCCTGCACTCCCCTGTCAGTATTCTCTACCACCGCAGGACGCACTCGGGGGTCGCGACCTGGTTTCAGTCTGCACCAAGTCCATCCCCACCATCAGGGGCCCTGGTGAACAGCAGGCTGGGACTTAGACCCCGCGCCCTGGGAGCGTCCGTGCGGTGGGCTGCTAGAGACTCTGCCAGGCGGCTTAACACTCTTCTGGTGACTGCAGGGAGTCATAGAGGAACCCAGTTCCCCACAGTTTCCTCTCCCTTCTTAATTGCTGCAAAAGCCTAGATCCACCTACAGATGGGAGTTTAGACTGCATCTGCCTACACAGTTTTACAAAATGTTGTCCTATTGGGTCCACACCACTTCATTTACCATGCTATGCTTTGACCTCTGTGGTTGTGTAATGTACTTTGTGGTCTTAATCAGGGGCGGACTGACCATTTGGAAACTCGGGTGCTGCCCGAGGGCCCGGGGTCAATAGGGGGCCCCATGAGATGCCCCTGGTACCTTTTTCATAGGCTTTTTTTGAGTTTGGGCAAGGGCACAGGGGCCCCATGATCCCCTATTGCCTGGGGGCCCCATGAGTTGTCAGTCCACACCTGGTCTTAATCATGATGGGAATGCACAATGGCTCAGTACCTGAAGGATCTCTGTCATTCTCATTAGGTTGACAATAATATTTGGAGATGTTCCTCTTCTGGCCTTTTAAATGATGGGCCTTACATTTCCTATGCCCGGATAACCCAAGGCTCTTGCATAAGGGTTTTCCTCAGTCACAATGCTACTGTTTTAATTCCTTGTTAATGCTTTTCATCAGGTGAACTGATCAAGGATAAAAATAGAAATTCATTTTTTAAAGGGTATGTCAAGTCAAAACCAGAACAGTTCACCTGTTCTGTAGCAAATCATAGTTCATATGGATGCATGGCGACCTCTGATCAGGGCTCTGCACTCTGAAGTGCATTACTGCACCCACTCTAGGCTTTCTCTGCCCTGGTAACAGTAGAATCTCTTATTAAAGTTTCCCCCCTTATAGCCCCTCCCCTACTCATTTCCTATGCTCTACATTCTTCTACTCTATTTTTCTCTTCTTTCTAGCGCTAACTCCCCACCTACTTCCCTCTATTTCCTGATTCCTCCATAGCCCCTTAGTTTCTTTACCCACCTTCTCCTTCCTCTATTTTTTTCTTCCTCTCCTTCCCGATCAGAAGGGGTGTGCTGAGGAACAGGATCTACCCCTATGATCATGGAATTTAGGGTTGTTTCTTGGAACTTTAAAGGTCTCAATTCCCTTGAGAAGCCTACCAGCTGCCTTACTGATTTATGGTGTGAAAGAATTCATAGGTACTGAATATCTCTCTTATTGTAAGGGAATTCCTGTACGGCGACTAGCACAT